TATATATATATATATATACAAAGATAGGGGATATATATATATATATACAAAGAGGAAAACGAAGAAAATTAATAGGTTTTTTTTTACTGCGCATAAGTTGCAAGTATATAGAACTCATAAAATTATATAAAAATGAAGAGAAAACATGGAAAATAATAAAGATTAATGAAAAGAGAATAAAAAAAAATTAAATATATTATAATATTTTATATTATTCTTGAAAGATTACGGTACAAGTAAGTTAATTGGAATTCGCTACTAGCTTTTTAGATTTTGTTTTGTGTTTTGTACTGTTTTTCCTATCTGTTTATTTTCTGATTTTTGCGTAATATATGTTATAATTTATGTGTTCTATTGTGTTTAAATTTTTGAGTGCTCCTCACACTATTGTATTGATATATTTTACTTTGGCTATCTCGATACAATAGTTGAAAGCACTCCTTTTTGCGAATAGAATCGTGCGAACTGATGAAGAAATTATATCTTTTCACATTTTTTTCCGGATCTTGAATATCAAGATTCAAGAATTAAATTGATTTATATGCCAAAATGAATAACTGCAAAACTGTGAATTAAATATCTGAAGTTGTAGAAAAAGATTGAAAAAAAATCGAACCAAACTAATCAATTTTAAGTATAGACAGGCACGCAAGTATGTTTGAAGGTGATCCAACTGAACCTTTAATGTTAGAGTGTCCCTTGCATAGCATAAAGCTAAGCGTTACTTTGCCGTAGAAGGCACTTCTCAAATACTACAAATCCAATAAAAAAAAATAAGAGATCGCGCAAGAGATTTTACGCACATATTTACAGTTATTTAAAATAAACATTTCATTATTAGAAATAAGCTTAATTAAATTAAATTTAGATATTATGTGTCTGTAATTACTCATCAGAATATTAGAAATCCAGTCAATTAATTTGTTGACAGGGAACTGAAAATTATTTCTTTTATCAAAAGCATCAATTTGAGTTTTTGAAAAATTAAATGTAATTAATAAATCAATAAAATCTGAAGATAAATTAGATTAGTTAGTTTTTATCAAAGTTGACTCCTATCAGATATTATTATTCGGTTGTCAATAAATTGAATACAATAAAAATCATTAATAAATATGAAACCCTTCCTGATAGATAAAGCAACATTCTTTTCAAAGTAGTGTAAATGAAGGTTAGCTAGAATATTTGAAAAATGAGTTCCTTGTTGCATGTCCAGGAATTGCTGAATGGCATTGACATAAATAAAATTTTAAAAATACGGAAATTTTTAATGTTATGCCAATATTCAAAATCTATAACTAAAATCATAAAAGTATGAGAAAAAGATCAACTTTAAGTTTGTTAAGTGGTGTAATAGTAAAAGAGATGCTAAAGAACTAATTTTGTGTAATGGAATTTATAAAGCTTTATTATTATAACTGGCTATTAATTTTAATAATCCAAGTAAAACCCGAATCATATGAATTAATAAATAAAATATTTAAGTATTTAGCAAACAATTTATCTAGTGAATTCATATGAGTATTCATACCACAAGTGATAAACCAAAATTTTATGATGTCTTATGAAATTTTGGGATGATTATAAGGTAATTAAAAATTTTCTTATTTTAAATATTAATTTTTTATTCATTTTTAAATAAATATTCCTTAAGTAAAATATCTTCAGAATGAAATTAGAATTAATTTAAGTTACATGAATTGTTTAGATGTACATTAAATAGAAGCCTTTACTATTGAAAGAATTGCTATTTAAATTAGGTTTTAAAGCATATTTAATTTCCGCCGTACCTCAGACATCTAATCTTTTACGAATGGTATTCTTATGATAATGTATTACTCTTATTGTCGACAGTCCATTTATTATGGTTATGATTAATAATTATACTTTTGATGTTTATGAAAACATTAGTTTCTTAAATGATTATTTTCTTATGAAGCAAAATTTGAGCCACATGAATTACATTTTCAACTATACATTAGTTTAATTCTAAAATCAACTTAATGTAACGTATTATTGGCGAAGTTATAGAGAGTTGTTTTTTTAACAACTCATACAAAGAAAGAAGTGATTCACTGTAAGAATTCACTGTTATAAACTGTAAGAATTCCGAATCAGTTTCTTCGATGTTTTTTTGCTATCATCAATCATATTGAATGCTAGTATTTAAACACTGCAATGGAAGAAAAGGGCTAATTTGCACTAAAAGTGTTTGGCGTACGCAGTAAAAAATACCAGATCAAATTACGGTTAAAGTTACTGTAAATTATGTGGCAATTTGTAACTTACCAGGCTTCATATTAATTGATATCAGTTTTTATCCGAATTAGCTGTGATGAACGGTATGATGAGCTACAGGTCACTTGATAGTATTGCATCATGTCATTTGTCAGAAAATTAGAGAGCCTTAACTTCCATGACCCCCTAGACCAACAAACTTTCTCTGTTGCAGAAGTTTACATTAGAATTTCCATACTTAGTTTATTTTCGCTATCAAAATAAA